CTTAAATTTTAGTCATTCTATTTTTTGTAAAATATATACAATGTGGCCCTCGTACTGGGAAGTTTGGAGGGCCCTGTGGTAGACTAGGGTGAAGTGTTACCTCTGTGTGTATATTCTGTCAGCAGGGCAATCCTAACAACATTTCTGGAGGTGTCATTTCTATGGTAGGTAGATGAAAGTAGTCACTCACACTCCATGATATTAAAGTCAATGCTGTATATTGACTGAGATAACACACATCTCCTTAGCGACGTTTCGAGACCATGCGGTCCCGTCCTCAGGCAAACAGAGAGTGGGTCAAGCAACAAAATCAAACAATAAATACAGGTGAAACAAAATCGACTTTAATATCATGGAGTGCGAGTGACTACTTTCATCTATATACATTTTACGGAGGCATCCGTTGTCACTACCGCACCCACCCAGTTGGATTTGGGTTTTTGTCCGGTCAGGAGTGCGATGGGACAGGAGGATTACATTTCTATGGTAGGTTCTGATCACAATCTTGTGTTTGTTTACATGCATTTTAAAACTGAGACTGCAGACAACAATAAAACGCACATTATTTTGCAGTTATTTGGTTGTTTAAAACTCATGGAGGGGAATTTATCAAACCTAGAGCAGACAGAATCTGCAGCAGTTGCCCATGGCAACCAATCAGCTTATCTCTTTCATTTTCAAATCGTAACTCAACAAACTAAAGAAACAGAAGTGGGTTAAATATTCAGTATTTGAAGAATTCCCACTATAATCCTCTCATACAGACATCCCAACTCTCCTGGATGTTCTGGGAGTCTCACGCTATTAGATAGCGGCTCTCGGACACCCGGGAGAGAAACATTTTCTCCCGGAAAGAATTACTCTGCTCAATCTAGCAAAGTAAACCTTTCTGTGCTGTCTGTTTTTTGTTTTTTTCTGACATCGGGGCCGTCGTCAGTCCGAAAAAAAAAACGGCATAGGAACTAATAGCTACATTCCTATTGGCTATTTCAATTTGCAATAGCCAATAGCAGACTAGCTATTGCACCCGCCCACTGCTGCTGTCAGTCAGCAGAGGTGTTCCTGAAGTTCTCCATCAGGTCCACCTCTGCTGACTCACAGCAGCAGAGGGCGGGTGCAATAGGCAGCTTGCTATTGGCTATTGCAAACTGAAATAGCCCATCGCAATCCAGCTATTAGTTCCTATGCCATTTTTTTTTTTGGTCCTGACTGCAGCAGTTGTCAGAACACTAAAAACCACAGCAGATAGCAAAGGAAGCATTGGCTTCTTTACTATCTGCCATCATTTCAGGGGGGTGCTCTCTTCCTTGTTGTTGCCACCCGCCCCCATGGAGAAGGGGGGGTGGCGGACACCTCCCTGAAATGACTTATTTCAGGTTGGGATTCCTGCTCCTGTGTCTGGGTACCTTAAAGTGTATCTCTAGCCAAAACATTTTTGCTTTGGATAGAGTGAGGAACAGTAAGAACCTCTGTCGTTTTTTTTATCGGGCTCTCAATTTGTCTGGGTGATGGGAAATCTAGATTTTTGCAGGTTTTACCGAAGCAGGAAATGAAGGCAAATCTAGCATTTGGGACACCCGCTCCAGTGACAACTAAGGTAGGATTACCCCTTTTATTGTTGACAGATGTCCTCTCACTTTCTGTTGTGACACAGACAGGAAGTAGGAAGGAAATCTCATCAATGGGACACAAACAGCAAAAAAAAAAGCCTGACAGGGAATTTACCGATTCAACCCAAATTGGTGATGAGAGCTCTACCTGTACTCTTGCCTCTGGGTTATTTTTCTTGATTTGCCTGATGTTTAGAAGCCGTTTACATATGAAATGTTCCAAAGTGCTGGAATGTCTGTGAGTGTTTGTACCACAGATCTCTCATGTTCTGTGTAATGCTGGACTGTATGTTAGAGAGTTCAACTTTGGGGGGGGGGGGGCACTAACTCACTGTATAGCAGGTGGCAGCATCAACTGTGACCATTTGTGTCATTGATCTTCACATGAAGTATATATGAAAGACAGGCAGCAGGAGGACTGTCAGCATAGTCAGTACAAGGTAGACATCTGCGAAATTCGGACTCATTTTCGGAATCCGAATTACAGCTAAAACGAATGCAAACGAATCCGAAATCCCGATTTCCCGAAAATTCGTTAGCGGTAGTCTGGTCGAATTCGTTAGCAGTAGTCCGGTCGAAATTTAGTTTTTTTTTATAGAGTCTGCAGAAGATGGAAAAAAAGCGTGAGGTTCCCCCCCAATTCATGCCAGACCCCAGCCCCAAAAAATGGGGAGGGGGAAATGTGGGGTCCCCCCTAACAGTCCTACCAGACCCTTGAGCACAGGCCCGGCAGGGCAGATCCCCCCTTGTGAATGAGTAAGGGGAGTCATTTTGTGGCGAGTTTTCGTCGGGTTCGGGTGGTCGTCGTGCGGTGGGACTTTTTTTTATTTCGGCAGGTCTGCGGGGGTCGTGCATCGTGATTGATGCTGGATTACATCGATGGAGCCATTTTTTTTTAATTAAAGGAATAGTCAAAAATTGAGTCTTTGTTTTTTTTCCAATTAAAGGGGGGTCCCCTCCTAACATTCCTACCAGACCTAAAGGGTCTGGTATGAATTGGGGGGGGAACCTCACGCTTTTTTTTTTCTTCATCTTCTGCAGACTGAAGAAAAAAATATATATTTTTTTTAATGTCACTTTGCTGTTAACGAATTTCGTCCAATAACCGAAATTTCAACTGGACTACCGCTAACGAATTTCGTCCGAATCCAAATCAATTGCTGACCCGAATCCGAAAAACGACTACTGCTAACGAATTTCGTCCGAATCCGAATCCCGCAACGAATTCAATTGCTGACCCGAATCCGAAAAACGAAATATGCAAAATCCGAATCAAAAACAAAACAAAGTACTGCATGCCATACAGGCGGTGGTGTGAACTGTGCCCATCTGTGAAAATGCAAATTGCCTTGCATTCGGGCTGCGCTGGCCGTTTTTGCAGCATCAGCTGTGAATGGGCCCTCAGTAAACCTGCGCAGAAGAACAGGACAGAGATGTGGGTGGAGTTATTGGTGATAGTGGGGAGGAGCGGTAGATGGTCTTATCGGGATAACGGGTCGAAAAGCTGCATAGATGGAAGCCGCGACCTTGGGGTGCACAGATTGCAGACACTGTGGTGACTCTCAATCACACCGTCTGTGCCAGTAACACACACCACTGCGCAACACACCTTCCATGCAAGTGTGCTGCCACTCATTTGAATGACACCCTCCCCAAATGCACCTTCGGGCCCCAATGCATGGTACTGCAATCCTGTGCGGTGCAGTGTGGTGGGGAAAAAAGTAGTGCATGCACTACTGCACAGCATTGTGGTACCAAGCGTCGTGGTGCTGTTAAACGCATTGCGGACGGGAGGTGCATTTTGGGGTGCCATTCATTCCCAATCCACTTTGAGATGGATGTGTGTTTCAGCACACTAATGTGTGGTGCTATGCCAAAGAATGGCGTATGCAATAATTTCACGACACTCGCTCATCTCAAGATGCCATTCAGAGTGAATGGCACCGCATTGCACCAATGCATGTAATGTTCATTGTTAAGTGTTGCAGTAAAGTGCGCAATAATGCTGCTGGGGCCTTGTTAGGTGGACTGGGGGGGGCTGTACGTTCCCCATGATTTCTTATGGCAGCCCTGGCTGGAATTGTTCATTATATAAACATCACAGCTTTAAAAGTCCTCATTGTGTTATTCATTTGTGTGTAATGTTGTGAAAGTGTCAATGGGACAGCATTTTTGGAAAAGATCTTCATGTGTGACGGGCATGCTAATTCTCATGTGTCCATTCTAGGAAATCTTCCTGCTGTCCGCTGGCATGGTTCATATGGGCACAGCGGTGTGTCAAACAATATATACCAATCCTTGGATCCCTTCACATGGCAATATTTGCCTCCTGCAGTCCTCGGATTCTGACAGCAAAGTTAGTATTGTCGGATCTTTTCTGTCAAGACGTGGCCTAATGATGTCTTGTTAATGCCTTCCACTACATAATGGCCAGCCACAATCAGCCTTGTTTTATCGCAAAATGTACTCAAATCTATGTCAATGGACTTTCAGCACTTGACCCCCATACAGTACTACAGGTACCAGTGCATAAGGACTATTACTTCTGTAAAGAGAACCAGTCACCATTATACTTAAGATGTGCACAGTGCCTGGAGCTCTGGTGTGACCTTATCAGTCACACCACCTCCTTCTGCTGAAAGCTGGCCATACAGAGATATTCACATAGACGTTCATATGGAAAATCTCTTCAGAACAGTTGATAATGCCATGAAATGTAATTTGAGGTTTTGGAATGAATACAGTTTTCTGAATGATAAACATATTCACCGATTGAATTTCCTTCATTCACGGAACATTTTCGATTCTGCTCCTTTAACGTTTCTATTACTACGACTGAAAACGATCTTTTTTTTTTATCCGCATTATCTATTAGAAAATTGAACGGACATTCCAAATACAAGTTTTTTCAAAGTAAATTCTGCTTGTGTGTGGCCAGCTTAACAGCACATGTGGAAAGTCCTGGCTGCCTGTATGTAAACGGGGCCAAGTTTAGGAAGGGCCAGACATGCTAACTCTGGGGCTATGGAGCTGAATGCATTGAATATGGGCTTAATGTGCATTCATGCCACTGGGACTTTACAGCCCCCCTCTAGGCAGAGATGGGCTTTCCAGAGTACACAGCACACTTTATATACTAACAACACAGACAAAGAATACACCGTACAGGCAATAGGATGTGACCAGCCCAGCTTTACAGAAGTGAACCGTTCTTCTGTGACAGAACGAAGTGTTCCCCGCACTGTGCAACTTTTTAGTTACTCCTCAGCGTGTTACCACCGGTGGAACTTTCGATAGAGCACCGGCACCCGGAACCTTTATTCCGGAAGCTCCGCTGCAGCACGGACCTGTATTATTGCATAGCCGGAAGTCGGTGTGTAATGAGTGATTGGAGGGAATCTGCCAACCGGAATGGAGGCCGATTTATTAGACACGTTGGAAGCTCTAGGGTGAGAGGAGAGCTATGTCCTGTACTGGATATTCTGTGTTCCCTCTGCCATACACAGAGCCATCTCATTGGGTGCTATATGAATGGAGACACTGTCATTACGTCTTTGTGCCCCCTCTGCATCTTTGTGCCCCTGGCCTCCTGCATCTGTTCCTTCTGCCCATCAACAGTTATTGATTGTATTTTTAGTAATCAGACATTACATGTCACCCAACCCGGAATATTGCCATTATTACCACCATGTGAATAATCCTGCTACAAAGATTCACTGCATCCTATTATATAGTCTAAGCTTTGGCTCATGATTATGATCATTATAAACTCATCTCTGTCTGCTCCTGAAGAATTATTCACCTCGTTGGACTTTTTTGGTCTATTCACACCACATTGCAGTGTTGTCATTATGTTGTGGTGTGTTAAACAGGCCTTTTAAAAGGAACTAATTAAAATGCAACACAATACATACAAAAAGATGACAGACTGCATTTTCCTGCAATGCAACACACCAGACGCTGTGTGGTATGCTGCAATGTTTTTTTGTGTGGGTATGTTGAGTTAACATTCAAGATGAATCACAGCAATGCACGTTATGTGTGTTACCCTAAGTTGCGGTACTTCGCGTGTTACCACAGCACAATGGTGTGAATGGGCCCTTTGTCATTTTGTAGTTGTACAATCTGAAATGAGTTTGGAAGTATGATTTTTGTGTCAGATCTCAGCACAATAGTCTGTTAGGTCTTGTACATACCAGATTCAGCCTGTATGGCAAGCCTTTACAAAGCATTTGTAGGTTAAAAGCAATCTTGAGTCAACATTCGTTGAAACTTTTAAGCTACGCTTAGCTCCAGTTTAAAGCTAAAGCTTGCTGAATTCTGCTAGTGGATTGTTTAAAGTGTCTGTAAGCCCTCCCATCAAGATCTGTGTTTAAAGCACCCTTCAACACCAGTTTGGAGATGTTGAAGTGTACAGCAAAGCTGCTTGATGCTGGCTGAAATCTTTGAAAAAGCCTGCTCTATGTATTGTTCATTTACAAAGTGAAGCCGGTATGTACAAACCCTAAAGGAGAAGTATACTGTCACAGAAAGTATACTTACCCTTTTTGCCAGCCATAACTAACCCACCTACACCAGTTGTGTACTTACCAGGTTCTTGCAGCTGCTCCCCACCCCTTTTAACACACACACACACACACTTTACATCTGAGGAGCCTGGATCTTCTTTCCTTGACTTCATAGGTTTGTATGTGGTATCTGAGCTTCTCCTGTGTTGGGAGACAGCCCCACAGAAATCTGAGGATCTACTGTGCAGGCTCAGACAATGGGAATAAATGGAGTAACACTTCATGGTGAAAGATTACTATGAAAACATATTTTTGCTCAGGTCTTTTATATTCCTTGAAAGGAAAACGACTTACTTAGAGCTCTGGACGGTTCCTTTCTTTTTATCATGCTTCTGCACTGTTGAGTGGTGAATCGTGACAATGTGACAGTTTAATGAATGAAAGTCAAATTTTAAGATAGTCAACATGCTTTAAGATGATTTCTTCTCGTGACAGGTACCAGGGTCCCTTGCTGGATGAGGCCACTCTAGGTCCTGCTTTAGAGGGCGGGTTGTCATCTCCTGAATACTGCCAGCTCTTGTGTTGGCTCTGCTCACAGATTAAGTTATTAGGTAACTTAGAAGAGAGTGTTAGCTCTGAAGGTAAGTACTCAACCAAAACTATCACTGCACAGAAAATTGCACTGAACATTGTAACATATTTGCTTGGCTCCATATATGATTGTTCCCATATCTTAGAGACTGGGTTCACATTTTTGCAGTAATTTAATGTGCCTTGTGCCAAGGCAGCCTTTTCAGTTTCAATGGGCTGCCAACACAACAAACACAAAGCACAGGGGTGTGCTGCACTTTAGTGCATGGGTATTCTATTCATAATGAACGGCACTGCAGCGTGTGGTATCATGCTTTATTTGTGTGAACTTGACCAGAATGTACATTGAAATTTCCGCAAACATTCTGGAATTAAAAATATTGATTACCATTTATAATGGCTAATTTGATCACTTAGTTATGGCAGACATTCAGTATTTGCAGCTCCCACTTTTGCATGCTACACTCACTCTGAAAATAAAATGAGTTCAGGCCACTTTCACCACTTCATAACTTTGTTAGTATGTCACATGAACTGGACATGAACCCACATACCACACCGAATACTGTTATTTCTATTAACATGTTCAAACATTTATTGATTGTATGTTCAGAGGTGGATGAATTAATATGGAATTCAGGAGCCAGTCAGTCCAATTCAGAAGCCAGTTCCATTGGCAATAACCTGAGAAAACTCTTAAGGGCCCATTCACACCATCAACTGCATTGGAATGTAGCCGCTGGTGTGTACTGTGAAGGCTGCGGTACCTTTTTTTTTTTTTACTGTTTGAAATTACAAAAAAATGAAATTTCATTCAGTTCCATCAGTCTCAGCACAGTGGATTGTGCCACAACACAGTGTGCTGACAAAAAGCACTGCATGCCGTATTTCTTTTTTTTTTCTGTCCACGCCACCTCAAACTCTGCAAAGCTGCCCAGCGTAGCTCAGTCCAGCTGGTGCGAACGGGACCTAAACGTTAGGAACCGGGTGAATATTAAAGGTGCATTGGCTACCTGGCTCTTAGGTTTTGTCCAGCCCTGGTATATTCAATTTTTTAGGATTCCAAAAACCTGTATTGGGATACAATGTTTAACTGTAATTGATATGCAACATAACAAATACAAAATGTTATAATAGAAAAAAAAAAAACATGCTTGAAAATCTTAGCATAAAACCTACACGTCTTAACCTCTAGGTGTCACTTTTTGCATATAGTAGTTTTCTCTTGTTTGAATGGCCATGCCTTTTAGCCTGACATTTCACCCTAATTTTACATGGCCTCAAGCCTAAACCTACGAGGACTAGTTTTATTACTTTAATCATGCTACTGCAATAGCTAGTGATTACTCGCTGACAACTGATCATTAAACAGATGGAGCGAATGGCTCTTTATGGTTTAAGCTACAGAAGTAGCGTGCAGTAGAGCTGAATCAACTAATCTAATCGATAATGATAATTTTTGTCAACGATTCTCATTATTGATTAATCTGCACTAGACACAAGACTGGACCAATTAGGAAAGTTAGTGCAGGTTCCAGAGCTGTTTCTGGGAGGGTGAGAGCGGACACAGCCAGCAGGGAGCAGCACATGTGATTGGCTGCCATTTGTTCCATCTGTTTAGTTATCAGTTACTTCTTCTAGAGATTTTAGCACCATGACTGAGCTATTGAAATGTCAAGTGTAGATCTTGTCTTGCTGATGAAAACACACCTATGCTATGGGGCTGCTGTACATATATTAGGTGTTAAAAGCTGAATGTTACATGTATGGTCCTAGGTGCTGTATAGTAGTTAAGACTGCCACACCATACTTTTCCACTGCAAGCATTGTGATCTTAACAGGCAAACTGTGTGAAGGTGTACAGTATTTGAAAAATCCTCAAAGAGATGTTGTCACTTTGCCCATTCAGTATCTGTATAAAGTTCTCCCTGACCCATTGACACTCGCCTCTCCATCAATTACCCACCAAACCTACCTTCATTGCAGTCACCACTAAAAAAAAAAAAAAAGCCTGGTGTCTGAGCCTAGAAGGGGCAGTAACATAATTCCCTTTCTGATGTCACAGTGCTCAGTTCTAGCAATTGGCTTGGTAAAATCATTGACAGGAGGTCACAAGCTCCACTATACTTTGAACCCAAGTATTTTGTGTTTACTGCGACAGAGGAAGGACCAGAGGTAGATTGTGGGAGAGGGGATCATCAGAGGGTCATGTGTGACAGTGTCTCTTTATCCATGACCCTTAAATGTTCATCAGTACTTCCTCTATCCTCCTCCTTCACAATGTTTACTTCTACAATACAAATGCTTTCTAATTATAAATTAGAAGCTATAACTAGTCATTTAAACCCATGGTGAAACGTTTATTCATAAGTATTCATTTATATAAATATAATACACTAAAACTGTTTGTATAAGTTGTGTGTGTTTTCCATGTTGTCCTTTTAGAAGCATACATAGTATTTGAGGTTGAATAAAGACATTAGTCCATCAAGTCCAACCTATTAGGATCTCATTCTAGGAGTACCTGTACCCCTGTATATTACGGTCCCTTAAGAAAATACGTAAACATAAGAAGGTCCTTTTCAGCTTTCAATCTTCTGCTGCCAACATTTTTACCGGTGTCTTTTGTAATGTACAGCATAAGGTACTGTTGCTTTTGAATGTATGATGGTAGATTTGTAAAACCAATGTCTGTCATCTTACCCCTAATAGGTGGAGACCTGGAGAGTATGCAGCTGGAAGTAAGTGGATTCTTAAAGGAGATTTCCTGCCCATATCCTTCTCTGGTGTCTGGAGATATCAAAAGCAGACTGCAAAACAAGGAGGATTGCCTAAAATTATTGTGTAAGTACAAACGTTACATCTGCATATACATTTAATCACAATGTAACTTTGGAAAATTAAATAAAATACAAAAATGAATGTGTCTCACCAGCTTTCTGATGCAGGCTTACTAGATGCTCTGTTTGTGCAGAATAGGACAATAAATGATTGTCATTTTCATACTTCCTTGAGCTGATAAGTTCACCTTCTTTAATCTTCTCATATCATTTGTCACAGTGTTCCTAGGTTCAGAACTACAGGCTGTTCAGATCCTACAGACCCAAAAGTCAAGTTGCTCTGGGTCAAATGATGCTGTGCATAAAGAAATCAAAAATATTTTTGAAGCACTCAGATTGCCTCTACCACCAACCTCAGATATTGTAGGCCAGTTAAAAAGTGTGCAGGAAAAGGTAAGAAGTGTGTGTTAAATATTTAGCTTTCCGCATGTATTTAGTTTACTGCCTGTACCGTCCTCTCTTCTTTAGAGCGAAGACTTGAATATAAAAGCAAAAAAAAAAAGTTTGAAAATCCTCTAATTGAAAAGTCAATTTCTCAACTCTTGTGCCAAATATTAGTTAAAGGCCAATGTCTTCATTCTTAATTGGGCTACATAGGTTCCATGTCATTGCCCTGAAACTAAAATTGGGCTTATCAGTCGACGAATGGCTGCTTCTATCGGAACTTTTGCTCAGGTTTGTGTTTTGACAGGTTCCCTTTAAAAGAAACCCTTTAGGACAGAAATATAGTAGCTCCCTGCTGATGGCTTCGATGTGTAGGTTGCTGGGCTTTCATCCTTATCCAAATTCCTCTACTACAGGGGTGCCCACAATTTTTGTGTTAAGATCTACTTTTCAAATGACGAGCAACATGAGATCTACCAATGGAAAAAAAATAAACCTCCCTCGCTCTCCCTCTCCTGGCTGTCTCTCCTTGCTCATCCTCCTGGCTGTCTCTCCTTGCTCATCCTCCTGGCTGTCTCTCTTCGCTCTCCCCGCTCTCTCCCCTGGCTCATCTTACTGTATTTTGCAAACAGTGCAGTGCAACAGGCTGTGTAAACTAATATTCTTTGATGTAATACATAGCACTTCAACCACCAGTATCCACCAGAAAGGTGTCAGGGAACTTGGCTCAGCAGACTCAGGCTAATAGGTAATCATGTGTGCACAGCGAAATAAATATACCAAAATGGAAAGTCTCTCCTTGCTCATCCTCCTGGCTGTCTCTCCTTGCTCATCCTCCTGGCTGTCTCTCTTCGCTCTCCCCGCTCTCTCCCCTGGCTCATCTTACTGTATTTTGCAAACAGTGCAGTGCAACAGGCTGTGTAAACTAATATTCTTTGATGTAATACATAGCACTTCAACCACCAGTATCCACCAGAAAGGTGTCAGGGAACTTGGCTCAGCAGACTCAGGCTAATAGGTAATCATGTGTGCACAGCGAAATAAATATACCAAAATGGAATAAAGGGGCCGCCATTCACACCCTTCGTGATCTACCAGCATCAGCTTTGAGAGCTACTGGTAGATCACGATCTACCTAATGGGCACCCCTCTACTAGATACTTGATGAGTCATTGACCCTGGAACACATATGTGTATGTAAGGTGTCCTAGCAGGGAACAATTGCCTAATGCTAATCTCTATACCCCTAATACTAAATTGCTTGGCTGCCCAACAGCCGCTTCCTAGAAAAGCTGAGGGTCCCAAATCTTGCAAGAATTTGTTGCTGCACAGTTCCATAACTGTCATACAGATTGAATGGCATTAATGCTTTCTACATCACTGACATGGAACAAATACAAAGATAAGGTTTTCTGACTTCATTCTGGCTTTCCTTATTTGTATGCTTGTTCATGTCTGTGTCTTAAAGCATTGAAGCATGAGAGAGCCTGGCAACTAGCATTTTCATAAGAAAAGCATCCTACATATTTATATTTATATGTGTCTTTATTACATTTGTTTGTTCATTATCAAAGTAAGGCAGAAACTTTGGAGGGGAAATAAAATAGGAGGTATAGCAATAGCTGATCAATAATGATTACAGTATACACTGAGTGGGCAGATTATTATGACCACCTGACGTTTGTACGCAAATTAGCTATAATTTTGCGCTGAAGTTGCTAGAGGGCCAGACCATTATAAATAGGGAAGCAGGTTGGTTACCACGACAGTAGAAGTGATTTGTTTCTGAAGATATGGGTAAAGAACGCGATTTAACAGCCTTTGAACGTGGGATGATTGTTGGCGCTCGGAGCCATGGAGCGAGTATCATCAAAACAGCAGAAAACGTTAAAAGAGCAGCTGTTGTTAAAGTGTTTAAAGACTGGACTGTCAGCCGAAAATCTGGGTCTGAACGTGCGAATTGTGCCGACTAGTCAATGTTAGGGCAGAACGGAGAGTGACAAGACTGGTACAAGACAACAGAAGGGCAACAGTGCAGTGTCAGATTCCTCACATCACCTTTCAACATCTCGTGGAGTCACGAGGCGACCCAACGAAGTCATCTCGTGGCCCAACGAAGTACTGATGGGGTGGTCATAATAATCTGGCCACTCAGTGTATTGGATAGTTCAGCAGGAACAGCATACAAATATGTAATTAAAACTGCAATGTTTTAAAGTAGGCATTAGTAAACTAGTAATAGTTATCCAAAAATCCTGTAAATATGATAAAGCAGAAAATTTGAAAGGTAAAATGATTTGAGATTGACTCTAAGCTCTGGAGAAAACAAGCAATAAGGTGAATTGGGGCTATGTGGTTGAGCACCAAAAAGAGAATAAATCGGTGTTATAATGGTTGTTAGCCTTCTTTTAAATAAGGAGCAATGCTGTCCATTGGAATTTATTGTAAAGCTGCCATCTTTATTATATTTATTATAACTGCCGCAAGGAAGAATGTGGATAGTTATTATTCTATTGACAGGACACCTTACTTACAGAACTCCTGTGCAACAGTAATCTCCTAGGCTCCTAGAGAAAAACACCTACTTGTGACGAGAAAGAGAGCTAAAGTTTCTAGTTTATTAGCTGTATTAATAGGCTAGGTCATTAGTACAGCTTTGACTTGTATGGATCTCTTCAGAATTAGAAGCAGTGGTGGATACATTTTAGCATATCTAAAGCACCCCATTATAACAAAGACTACTGAAAAGTTTGATGGGGTTGTAGCCATTTCCTACCCAATCCAATTTTGGCTTTATACTTTAATAATCTTAGTGAAAGATTTGTTGGTGTCCGTGAGGATGCTGGTCAGCTTCTCGTTTAAACAGAAAAAAATCTATCCGCCGCGTAACTTCCCCAAAGGGTACAAATTGCTTTTTCCATGCCGAAGCAATAGTTTGTTGAGCCACCAGCAGAACATGTGTGGCTAAGCGGTGTTGGCTTTTTGACCATCAGCAACTTTTAAAGTACAATAGTGTGAATGCAATGCAGGCAAGCTTGGTTCCACTTACCCTTTGTTATTTCCATGAACACCTTAGAAGCCCTCATACACGGAGCATTCTTAATGCAAATCTTGACTTGTGCTGAGAAAGTCAAACGGCCTGGCCTTCTTTGTCACCAATGGGAAATATTGAAGCAAGCAGCTCAGCATAAGCGCAAGGCAACAAAAATGTTCAGGAGAAGATCAGCAGCGGCAGCCCTCGTGTTTATCTCTTCCTTTGATTGGACAGAATAGTCTTTTAACATTTGCATTTCAGCATTGGCTTTGAGGGGTTGTTCAGCCCTTTTGAAAATGTTAACTCTTCCCAGCTTCCCAAAAATTTAGCAGAGCTCATATTTTCAAGAATTAGGTCTTATCTGGTTATTCTGCTGTGGATATGAAAATACTTTAATATTTGGAATTGGCAGATGCTTTTACACCCTAGTAAAAAAAAAAAAGAATGTGCAGAATTTTGATGAAAAACCCCAGATCTCATATTTATGTTGTCTGTTTTATATCTTCTGCAGGTTACTGAGTTATTACCCAAAGTGCAGTCAAACAGTATTAACAAGACACTCCTCACTGTGGAACTGAATGCAGAACAGTTGGTGAGAAAAATATAATAGAAGATCAAAGTAATGTGTAAAAGATATACTAAACCTAAGATTTAAACCATCTTGCTGAGCGATGAGCCTTGGAAGTGACAGTAGAACAGGTTTACCTAATCCCAATCACCCACCTCCACCTGTGAAGGTTAATCTGAAGCGTACTCAGGGCATTGGTAACTCTGTCCATCCCCATGTGACAGTGCTCAAGCCTGTGATGATTGGCCTCTCAGTGCTGCATTGTGGGAAGAAAGGAAGAGAGTCACATGGTCTATCCATACCCAGAAGTAAGAGGCCTTTCAGTTTGCTCTCGTAGGTGAACAGAAAGTAAGTATCGGGACACAACAAAGCAGAAAAGCCACACGTCTCTGCTGTGGTTTGTGGGGGATCACAGCTGGGGCGGAGCCTCCCTCATTACCCCAGCCACCCTCTGCTCTGTCTCACTGTCGCATTGACAGTTGAGTTTTGCAGATTACACTGATGGAGTTTAGCTCTTCCCATGTAATTTGTGGTGTTCCAATGTTGGTGTGACAGCCATCTGCTCTGTGTTCTCCTGATAAACTGAGCACAGCAAATTGTTGTCACATTCATAGCGCAGCTCTGCTGATTACACAGGGAAAACTTTGCACTCCCAGTGTAATCTGCGAGACTGAGCCGTTGGTGTGACATGCCAGTCTTGCTATGCATTCATTTATGAATGAAAGCCAACGTTGTAGCCGTTATACAAAAGTTACTGTTGTGTAAAGTAAAAAAAACATAATTTTCTCTTTAAAGCAGTAATCTATGCTGTCTGCTCTGCAAGTGATAATGTTTATAATGTGTACAATGGAAACATAATCTACGACTTGTTCACCAGTCTTAAAATTTTCTGAATCTCATAGGAACGCCTCGAGAAGATAAATGAAACTCTCGCTAAAGAGTATGCGTGTCGGCGACGAATGTTAATAAAGCGTCTGGATGTTACTGTTCAGTCATTTGGCTGGTCAGAGAGGGCCAAGGTGGGTACATTGGTTATCTTCCACATGTTGTACTTTCCCTGTTCATAGAAATGCTTTGTTCTCAAATGTCACATTGCAAGATACTTTGGTAAAATTGTACTAATGATGGCAATAATATGAATGTGTTTATTTGAACTGTCAGTAACAATCTATTTCAATACATTTTCTCCATCAGCTCAAAACAGATGAGATTGCTCGTGTTTATCAGCCAGTACGATACTCGCTGTGCCCAAAATCGGGCATCACATTATCACATCTCTTGGCGGCCAGGGAGGATCTCTCCAGAATAGTGCGCACTAGCAGTGGATCGATAAGGGAGAAGACTGTGTGTCCTGTGAACAAGGTATATTGTTATGTACACGTTCGTTTTTGTTTTCTTGTGAGGTCACCAGCACAGGAAGTGAGGAGAATCCCTTGTGGAGACATGGCAGTTTTAACCTCACAGAGGTTCTTCCATTCTGCCTCTACTAAAACAAATGTTTCCAACAGAGGAAAAGACAACAATGAACAACTGCCAGAGGTTCTAACCTTTCCACAAGCTATTTAAAACAACAAAAAGAATGATTCATCTTTCAGCCCATAAGCTGTTTGTCACCTTATGGGATGATATATCCAAATCTAAAACTCAAACCACTAAGGACATGGACACCACAGCCCTAATTTACCATGTAAGAACAAAAAGTGTGGGGCTTTTCAGGTGTCACACATATAGATATCCATACAGTATGACCACAAATCTATATGAATAAAACAATTTTATTGATTAAAATGACATGACCAAAAATGGATGGGATGATACAGTAGATAAGATTGTTCCTGCCCTTTTGTGGATATGAGATGTGACATAAGCTCGCTGTGTCAACCAGTTTCTTGAGAATGGGCAGGATGAGCTATCATGGTGCGTGCACGCTGTGATATTATATATGCGTGGGATAATCCCTGATTGCTGTTAAGCACCAGGAATCTTTCTGTGCTGGTGATGAAATTAGCGGGATGTGATCCCTGCGTGTTTGTACTACACCTGTCTCATACTGTCTAATGAACCGCAGTTTTTCTATTTTCTAATATTACACGACCCATAGTGCCTGGCAGCTCATGTGATTGGCTTTTCTCAGCAGTTCTTCTCTTGTTCCAATGCTGGGATCATCTGTGCAAAAGCAGATTGTACTTTGCATTGGTGTTTACTAAAAATCCTTAATGTATATATAACTGGGAGACCAGGAGTGGTGAGGTAATCCCTGTCAGGTTTTTATTGATGTCTGTGCCCCCGTTGTGAAGATTCACACTCACTAATTGTTCTGGTGGCTCTTGATACTGAGTCTGGAAAATTCAAGATTGTGAAGTTGTTACTGAAATAGAAATTAAAGAAAAAACTTTCAATGTGGACATTTTCCCTGGTGACAAAGAAGACATTACCCCATCAGAGATATTTCCCCTCACTTCCTGTTGTGTTTACAGGACAGGAACTGAAGGGAAACCTCCCAAGCGGCATACAATTTAAAAAAAAGTAAAGTTATACTTTAAGGGATTTCATCATATTCCATCAATATTTTAAAATAGGGTATTTCTAGAATATGATCTTTTCACCTACTGGCATTTTGGTGGTATTCTGTGCAGTTGGTGGTTGGCTTTGTTGCCCATAGTTATAGAAAGAATTGTAAGGAAGATAAAGTGACTGCATACTTTATTTATTTTTTCATCCATTAAAAATTAGCATTAGTTTAAATGGCTTGTTTTGTCCTTTTATTATTCCAATATCCTGTCATAAAAAAAAAAAAAAGATTTGCTGTGTTGCCTCAGTATTTTTAGCCAGCTCTTTTTATTCCATTGTTATCCATACCATAATTCTTTTTTTACAGGTTCTAATGGGAAGGGTGCCTGATCGAGGGGGAAGACCATCAGAGATTGAGCCTCCACCTCCAGAAATGCCACCCTGGCAGAAGAGACAGGATGATGGAGTAAGGGGAGGTTGGAGAGGAGGAGGACGCGGAGGTGGTGGATATGGAAGAGGAGGTTTTAATGCAGGTCCCAGAGGTGGAAGAGGAGGCGGTGGAGGATACCAGGGCAGGGGAGGGTATGGTGATTATGGAGGAAGAGGGAACTCTAGGAGGTACTGAACGGACAGATGTCTAGACTGTGTTGCTGAAAGTTTACATTACACGAACGGATTCTGGATCTGTAAAGGTTTTTCTGAATGAACTATTCGGTAAAGTCAGTGTTCCTTCTCAGTAAGCCAGAAATTATTTTTTTTTACATTTGAAGTTGAGCAGCATGATCACTACATGCTACCTGAGAAGCATTGGGGTGGAGTCAGGAAATATGCGTTCTGATGAACTCATTATGCTCCATCCTGACCATGTATAGTGACTGAATCATTTGTTCTTGGTGATCTATGCACAGGCCTGCAATAATGTTTTTTACACAGTTGACACAATGGCTTACTCTTTTTGTGCAGCACCTATACAGCACTCTTTGAATAGTACAGAAATTAAATATCATAGGAAGTAGTATTTATATAACAAGTAGGAAAACTAAATATTCAGTGTAAAGGTCTGTCCACCGCCATTCTGGCTCTGGTTCAGGCCCAATTTAGAAACCATTGGTCGAATACCAATTAAAGTACCTGAAACATGGGGCTATTTTGCAGGTCCTCTGGTATTGCAGCTAGCCAATATGGAAGTCAGTCAGTCAGTCAGTATAATTGTAGTGAGCCTTTCGTGAGTATAAATAAGAAGTATTTCCTTTGCCCAACAGTTTTTTGTAAAAGTAGACAGTATATATAGTTATACACTGATATAAATATAGTTTACAAATGACTGGATCTTGTGTTTTTCTGGAAATGAAATACTCACTGCAGCAACTTGTTATACAATATACATCCAGTTGTGTGCTGCTTTTATTTGCTCCTCTGTAAAAAGGGAAATTTGCTGCTGCGTAATATTGGCTGTAGGCACTAAAAAAATCTTTCTGTTAACGGTCCTGAAAGTTAAGTTTTGTGACAAGGAGTCTGGTGGATGAAAGCAACCAAAGGCCTAGGCAGGTAATAACTGAACAAAAAGGGATAAGCGCACTTCTGCTGGTTAAGAACACTAAGAAAATGAGCGCAAGATATATTTTAACAGGGAGAGGAACCCTGTGGCTGAAATAACAAAAACACACAAAAAAACTGGAGCTCTACTACTGTGAAGGTAATATAAACTCACATTTAGATGTCAGCGATGTGGGTCTGGAAACGTCAATGGGCTCGTTTACCGTCCATATGTTAGGTGGCTGGACTGGGAGGAGTGATTTTATGATATGCTCGTGGCGTGAAAAACTAAATGACAGTACGACCAAAGTCCGCCAGCTGCACGGACTAAGCTGGCCAGGCTGAGCCGTGGCGGCAGAGAAAAGGGAGTGTAAATGCCTGAACGGCTTTGAACACTGAATGGTTGTTCTGTGCTACAGGTGGGCAATTCTAGTGACAAGGAGTAACAACAGGGTGAAGTCCGCCAATGTAAATGGGCGAGATCTCTCCCAACTGGCCAAAACGACCATTCAGTGTTCAAAGCCATTCGGCATTTACACTCCCTTTTCTCTCCCACCACGGCTCAGCCTGGCCAGCTGAGTCCGTGCAGCTGGCGGACTTTGCTCGTACTGTCATTTAGTTTTTCACGCCACGAGCATATCATAACATCACTCCTCCCAGTCCAGCCACCTGACATATGGACGCTAGGTAAGTGACAGGGTGGCAGAAGTGAGAGATTATTTTGTCTTCCAGGCTTCTTTTTTTTTCCTCTAGAGAGATGTACAGTGCAGTGTACATTGTTCCTTGTGCTGTATTTGCAGTCACTGTTCTAGATTTCAGTACTGTGGAACAAGTACAACATTATATTTTTATATTATGCTATTAATACACATGTGATGTATCGGACAATAGGCACAGTACATACGATTAAGGAGAACGTTTTAACGCAGTTCATTATTTTATCTTGTGAAATATTTCTCCTAACCATGAGCAATGCACAAACCTAAATATCACTTTGCCTTTGAGTCCTTGTCTTTTCAGTGAAATGGCCATTTACCTGCTGAAAGCCCTATTTTCTCATGAACAATTATTTTAGCACCAGCTCCCTTTCCTTGTCTCTTTAACAGACTCCTCTCTGAAGCGATAGTATTTTAAGGAGCGATAACCTGTGAATTGTCTTTTTCAGTCACAACTGTATAAAATAACAGGCGTGCCATAAATTAGTTTACTGTGGGAATTTATTGCATTTAGTAAATTGAAATATCAAGATTATAAAAACAAATGGATGTTCATGATATGTTCTGCTTTGTGTGTATTGAGCCTATTGAATGAGGCAGAACTAGGCTTGTCCTATTCTTCTTCTTCTTCAATGTCAGACATTTCTAGTGAAAACCTCTCTGATCAGAGACATTAACATCAGACTTTTTATAATGCATAACTATCTGCCTGGTGATTGGTAAAGGAAACCTTTACAGGTAGAAGATGGTATTGGTGACTTCTCATTTTGAAAGTGCTTGTTTGTTGGCTGTTATGTTCATCATTTTGCTTCCAAACTTTGAGTCATTGACCTGTAACAAGCATGCAGCTAAAGAATTTTGACACACCTGATATTGTATACATGTTCTGGGGCAGTGATTTCAAAAGTATTGAAGTCTGAAGGTCTGCTTAACAGCCATACAACTAGAAATTCCCTAGCAATGCCAATCCCTATCATTTTCTTAGGAAATTAATACTTTAAGCAGCTCATGAGCTTTGATCTCAGAATATAAAGATTACTGTAACATTATGAATAGTTTACAGGGCAGAACTGCTTAGGCTATTTTGGGTGTCATTGTAATAAGGCCGTTTTAGCCATAAGGAGACCCATAATGTGGCCTGATATTTACAGCTATGATAGAATTATTGTATTGATTAGTATCATGGGGAAACGTAAGAGAACGTCAAGCACAACAAATAAAATATTTGCTTTCTTTTTGATCCATTGAGGGACACAAGTTGTCATCCACCTTCAGGTTATACTTCTGCCTACAGGAGGATTGGACACTGGCAAACAGAAACTGTAGGGCAAGTCCAGGATAATCCCCCCTACTATCTGCATGCCTCAGTCTTTTTGTTAATGTTTTTGGAGGTTGGATGTCTTTTCCGGAGCTCTGCCGCTAGAACTGGTCTCTTTGTTTGCGTTGCTGTTTTGCATGACCGGCGTCAGTCTGGCTTTTGGAGTGCCATCTCCAGACCCCAATTAACTGAATGTTGCAAATAAAGCCTCGGAATGACCTTCGGGTACTGGTTTCCACATAAGGTGCTTTCCAGACTCCGCTCTGGTAACAAATAAGTCCAGCAGAACTTTCCAGGTCCGCAGCAATTGTCATTGACTCAGAGTTTGCCCTGTTTCTGAAGACTCGCTTCACAAGAAGACTGTTTGGGCTGAACACCAGGAGCTACCTCGTTTACTCACTGGGTGCTTGTAAATTCCTGCTTTCCGCCAGTTTCCACCATGGAAGAGGTTAAGAGCACTGATGTCATTTTCTGTGTGGAGTCCCATGCCCGCTGTGTGCTCTTTCCCACCATTCAGCATCAAGCAAGCATCTTCCAGCTTCTTGGTCTTTATGATCATGCTGTTGGTACTGCTTACTACAAAACTGAGGCATGGTCGGGGTATGAGGGATTTTCTTGGACTGGCCTACAGTTTGTTTGCGAGTGTGCTCATGTAGGCAGCAGTATAACCTGAAGGCGATTGACTTCCTTTGACTCCCAATGAACGCTAAGAAAAGGAGTTCAAGGCGAGTACACAAATCCTATTTTTCTTGGTACTTGTCACACTGAGATAGCTTTCTCCTGCAATATGCATGTCATGTAAAAGTTCCTTCTGTAATTGGACCTGAGCTGTTTAATATTGTCAAAACATGAATTTCAGATAACTGTGATAATGTTGAATGCCTTCATTATTAGTACATTTTTTTTGATCAGCTCTGTAAATGTGTTATAGATATCTTCACATTTGTACTATTGTTTGGCCATTTGTCCACGTGTAGCTGAGACTTTGTGAGATCCGTGGTTTTAGACTATTTATACTGCCAGTAAAATTTCTTGTTTTAACTTAACTGTCTGCTTGTTTTCTTAGTAGGTGTGCGTGATACACAGTATGTTTTTGTTTACATTTGTCACTTAATGATTAATGGAAATTACAGTATGTATTATGAATCCTTGGGAGATTTTGCACATAATATTTGCAGTTGAGAATTTATGTATGTATACCTTTTTTATAGGGCAGAAAAAAAAAACTGGCTTGGCGTAGGCTCGAAAATAGGAATCACACTCCTCAAGTCATTTAGTATAATGGAGATACAAAGGAAAGCTTCAGAAGTTTCTGATAAAAGCAATTTAGAAACCAAATCCAGCCAAAACGTACTTTCTTGCCCATTGGCAGACACAGGAAGACTTAAACCTGCGGGTTATATTGCCGCTTATAGGATTGGACACTGGCAAAAAGAAAACAAACTGGGTATACCAGGGTATAACCCCCTCAACTGCTAGTGCCCTAGGAGGATGAATTTCAGGCCAGCTTTTCAAAGATTAATTTGTGATTTTCTAGGATTTTTTTCTTCAGTCATGACTCTTCTCTACCCTTCTGCTGGAGACTTCCCCTCTGATCTTCCACTATCCAGCACTGTCGTCCTCAGCCCAAATTCTGGACCGTACCACATCTAGACCCTGCTAGGCAGGACGTTGAGGGGCTAGCCGAGAAGTGACCTTCAGGCACTGGGTCCTGGGTGGCTGTAAAATGTCTAATTTAACACAGGATGCCCCCAGCTTACTTTCTACTAATGGGTCAGAAACTGCCTGCAGTGCGCCTACTGACCGTGCCAACATCTGCAGTCTGAAGGCATGTTTTCCTTTGCTGCGAGTCTCTTTCACCTTTTGGAGTCCTTCTTGGATATAGGTCTTCTGCCCTCTTGGTTGATTTTTTTTACTATAGTCAAGCAGGACTTTCACTCATCCGAGGCCCCCCCCCCAGCAGATTCGGTATCTGATTTACCAGTGACCTTAGCGGCTTCTGAGCCATCGACCGCAGTGGCTCTGTCTGATTCCAAGTCACTCAAGTCCTTGTATTATGAGCTTACCCCTTTGGAGTCGTAGTCTATTGTTATTTCTCCCTAGGTAATGGAGAC